TTGATTATAATGGTGAAGGTTTCGTGCAGGACCATCCACGTTTTTTGAAGGGCTGAATACAGAAACCTGGTGCACTACGTGTCACAAGGTCCCCAAACGACCCTCCGAAGGTTTTGAATTCAGAGTTGTCCTTCTCCTAGACCAGTTGCCATCCAAGGCTATAGAACCCAGTCTGTCCTGCTATTTACCCATAGCTGGAGGGAGAAGAAGAGGATTCACACTTTTCCCAAGGGTATTAGCACGTAAGTGAATGTAATATATATATATATATATATATATATATATATATATATATATAGTGCTGTTCGATAAAAAGAGATTCACCTGATTTTTTTTACTAAATGTTCTCTTCTCCGATGAAACGAAAGTTGAGCTAAATTCAAAGGATAAAGTGATCTAAAATCTGACGAGAAGCTTTGAAAGCTCTTTGAATTTAGCAGTAAGTAGTACTGTCAAGCATCCGTTCAGTATAATGTTCTGGGGATGCTTTTCTTTTCATGGAACTGGTTTCTTGAAACCTATTGAAAAGACCCTCAGGAGCGAGGAGTACAAGAGAATTTTAGAGTCTTGTCTGCTCCCTTCTCCTGAAAGGATGCAAACCGACCCCACCAAGCTCATTTTTATGCAGCATAATGTTCCCTGTCACAAATCAAAATTATGCAACATGCAACATGATGCTCAACTGCTTTCTCGAGAGCCTGTACTTTATAAAGCTCCATAAGTTTTCTATGGGGTTGAGATCAGGAGTTTGGGGCGCCCATGTCATAACACTCACCTGCTTCTCATCAAAGTATTCCTTCATCAATTTATATATATATATATATATATATATATATATATATATATATATATATATATATATTATAAAAAAAAGAACAGTAAGATAAATAATCCAGTGTTCTTATTGATTTTTTTTAAACAGTGCTTAATGTAAATTTACAAAGCATAAATATTATAAATTAACTGATTTAAAATATGGTTTCTTCGCTAAACAGGAATTACCATGTTTCAAAAAACCGAATCTAAAAACTTCAAATTTAATTATATAATTAAATTGAAAGCATTAGTTCTGTTTCATCTTCAAGAGAATTTTGGAATAGCATTTTTTTTTGCTTTTTTTAATTATATAATTTAATTATATAATTAAATTTCAGTTTTTAGCTTCGTGTTTGAAAGATGGTAATTCCTGTGTAGCGAAGAAACCATGTTTTAAATCAGTTAATTTATAATATATATATATATATATATATATATATATAAGTTGGAGGATACCCGTCTATTAGGGCGGCTTGACAATCCCTATTGCAGATGCCCGCTCAGGCGCATATGTGTTTGTTTAACACTAACAGAGCTCACTTGTGGTATACTGAGCAGTCCTTAGTTACAGTTTATGGAAGAGAGCGCGTTATTCAGCGTGATCAACGATCGGAACAAGCACCAGCACGCTCAAACCATCGGTCACGATGACTTGTGACTTCGTGCTAGCACAGCCATTGTCTACGCAATTTCACTCAAAGAGCTTGTGTTTTCAGTGGCATATTTTCAGGAACTTTCTAATGGTGCCGGACATTGGGTTCGCCCCCCTCCATGCCGATATCATTAGGAATCTCCGTCCTGACAAATCGACTGTGGCAAGGTTCGAACCCGGGTTACATGGTCAGAACGCGAACGTTCAAATCACTCGGCCCAAAAATAATGGAATGAATTATCAAACTTATACCACAAGAAACTTTTTTCCACGAATGCCTAGTTTGTACATATATATATATATATATATATATATATATATATATATATATATATATATATATATATATATATATATATATATAAACTTATACTTCGTGAAAATTTTGCATCGAATACAAAAAAGTTTGTATATATATATATATATATATATATATAGTTTGTGCATATACACATGTGCATACATAATTTGCATATATATATATATATATATATATATATATATATATATATAAATATATGAACTTTTGGCATTCGTTGCAAAAGTTTTTTTAAAATATACGTTCGATAATTGATTCCATTATTTTTTTTCAAGAACTCTTTGATATTTTCTTTTTCTGTCAAGTTCATCCCATGCTAGGTAGCTTCAAACTTTTGAACATTAGCGTATATATATATATATATATATATATATATATATATATATATATATATATATATATATATATATATATATATATATATATATATTCCAATCTTCTAATATGTTGTTTCTTGTTTGAAAATATACGTTTTTTGCCGGCGGATGCATCTTTCCTAACAAGATTTCTCCAATATTCAGTCCGGTAAGCTGTAAATAAGCATATATACTGTTTAAGAGATGAATATAAATACTGCATCTACTCAAATACAGGGCCTCCATTTACAAAAAATAACGTTTCAACAAATAAATTAGATAATCTTTCGGACTTAATCCATTTCTTACAAAAAAAAACTCTTTGTTTACATTAGGATACAAAAAAGAGCACATATGTAAATATCGAGAATCGGGAAGACGATGTCTATTCAAAAGCATTATTCCAACTTTGCTTGACCCTGTAATGCGGGTGGAGGTATACGTGGCCGAGTTGTTGTAAGGCATATCAAACCTAATGACAGTTTTCCCCTAGTGATCGCAGGTTTGAATCCTGCCGGAAAACGCATATTTTTTAAAAAGATTTCTCGAATATCCCGGCCAGTATGAACTTAATAAATAAATATACTCTTTACGTAAAACAAAGTATCTACTCAAGTACGAGTATACATTTAAAAATAAAGCTTAAACAAATAAATTATATATATATATAAGTGAACAGTGAAGTCAACACTTAGAGGCGACAGTCTGTTTCATGCTAGACGCAACAGTGGCCTGACGATTGCATCTAGCATGAAACAGTCTCCTCTAAGTGTTGATTACGACGTTCACTTTTATATTTACACACGCTCTATCTCTGATATTGAGCATTTTATCCCACCGGTTGACTCTAGCTAGGATCGAAACCTGGCCGAATTGGCGCCAGTTGGAGATTTTACCCTTAAGCCGTTGGCGCACGGCAGGGGTAAAGGTGAATTAAAGCATATTTATTATTAAATAAACATACAGTGACTGAGAGAACACGATTCGATTCACTGAAGAGTATATATATATATATATATATATATATATATATATATATGTGTGTGTGTGTGTGTGTGTGTGTGTGTCCTCGCGCGTAGCCCGACCCAGAGTTTCATGCACAACGCAATCTTCAGGTGATGCATTCAGATTTATCCGTTACATAATTTATCTTTTTTTTTTATATATATACATGGTTATTGCAATGCCGAGAAAGTCCATATTTTATAGGGGGATTGTTGTTTACCGGTGAGAAAAAATATGTATATGTGATATTGCATCGAGCACTATTTTATTAACAGGCATTCAACATAGTGTTGTAACCTTTCGCGGTTGCATATCGATCTGGGCAACCCGCAGAGAATTCTGAACTTAACACTTTCTTTAATCTACGGAGTAGACTGTTCTCGTTCCAAAGCTGAAGCCTCGTTTTCATCTGTGCGAAACTGTCCAGCATCCACTGTGAAATAGGAGGACTGATATTACCTAACAGTTAAGTACTTTTTTTGTTTCTTTCTAACGAAAATCTTTCCGTTTTTTAACCCTAGAACACTAACCATGGGTACCCAGTACCCAGCACCATATTTCCTATTTTTAATTACAATTTTCAGTACCTGATTTTCTTAGCTAAATAATATGTTTTTCAGTTCCTATTAATGTTAACTCAAAGAACTAAGTTTGAAGTGCCTGCATGTAAAATATTTCAAATAAAGATTTATATTTAATATTTTTTGATATTTTCAATATCGGGTCTGATATAACCATAGTTAGTAGTGGTGTAACTTTAATTGATGGTGAGTATTCTAGGGTTAATAGTTTACTTAGCTTTTTGAAAGTATCTTTAGTTATTCTAATGTGCCCTCGAATGTCATATTTTACGTTTTTACATTTCCAAGATATTTTAATTCCCGTACTTATTCGATTCAGATTCATCTTGCCATTCTGAATTATACTTCCAGTTGTCAGAGATACATTCTGTATTCTTCCAATTCATGCTTACTCGTTTAATTTACTCCCTAATCTAGCAGGTCCTGCAGTTCCTTTCTGTGCCATCGGAACATTTTATTGTTAAGATTGTGTCTATCCATAATAAAGAAAATATTAGGTCACACCCTAGTTTAACAGCTAGTAATCTAGATTGACTATTAAATACTGATTGGTTACTGGGATCGTCACTGGGTGCTACATAATGTTTTGACCTTTGTCAAACTAAGCTAACCATGAAAACTAACGTCTGGGTCACCTCGGGAACAGGGTAAATTCTAATGGCCTGATATTGTTGGCCATTACTTTTCAGTAGAGTGATCGATTCTCATTGACAGCTGCAAACATGGATTTATTCCAAGGATTTGAATAAAATCGTCATAATTCGGAAAGAAAATCTATCTATCTATCTATCTATCTATCTATCTATCTATCTATCTATCTATCTATCTATCTATGTCAATTCATCTAAGCTTATCCATATCTATCTATACATGTCTATTAATATCTAACTATATATATGTCCATACATATCTATTCATATATATATATATATGCGTGTGTGTGTGTGTGTTAATATCTATCTATCTATGCTCATATCTATCTTTGTTTCTTTCTATCTATCTATCTATCTATCTATCTATTTCAGTCTGTTCATATCTATCTATTTCAGTCTGTTCATATCTATCTATCTATCTATCTATCTATCTATCTATCTATCTATGTCCATTCATATGTATCTAAGCTTATCCATATCTATCTATACGTGTCTATTCATATCTATCTATATACATCTATACATATCTATCATATATATATATATATATATATATATATATATATATATATGTGTGTGTGTGTGTGTGTGCGTGTGTGTGTTAATATTCATCTATCTATGCTCATATCTATCTCCGTTTTTATCTATCTATCTATCTATCTATCTATCTATCTATCTATCTATCTATCTATCTGTTCATATCTATCTATCTGTTCATACCTATCTATCTTTCTATTCATGTGTAAGTTTGTATCTATCTATCTATCTATCTATCTATCTATCTATCTATCTATCTATCTCAGTCTGTTCGTATCTATCTATCTCAATCTGTTCGTATCTATCTATCTATCTATCTATCTATCTAAACTCTTCTTCATATGGATCATATTTTATTCACTTCTTAATTCGTTGGGTCTAAGAAATCTCGCTTGAACATCTTAATGCCGTGAAATCTAAAAAAAAATCGCTAGAAATAAAAATCGATTTCTTACATGCAGTAATCAAATCAATCGCGTTCCTAGATTGGAATAAATGTTCAACTCTAAATCCCGTTCTTCGTGATAATTGCCACTCCCCTAGTTAATGGTCAGAAATATTCAAAGATTTCTGAAACCAATAAAGACAGGTAGATCCAATCACTTTCCTACTGATGCGCCAACACCCACACACCCGTTTTAACATCCATCACATTTGTGATGAGGCTGCGTTTATTATTTATTGGGTAGGTAAATGTAGACATTTCTCTCAGAAGCACAGGAATAATTAAAATCAGCATTCGGATGTAATATCTATTCAAAGCGCCTATAAAGTATGTACCGAATAAACTCTCCTTGCACATTTGGGAAAACATATAATTGAATTATTATCTACACTATTTATATTCGGACTATTGTCCTCATCTTTGTTGTTTTTATCACAACGTTTCGGTCGTTGTGCTCTCCGGCCTTCCTCGGGTGTATATCAATCTGGGTAATCTACAGGGAATTCTTTACTGAACCGTTTACTTAATCTACCGGGGTAGACTGTTCTCGTTCCACTGCTCATCTCGTCTAGTTCTTTCGAAGGAAAAGTTTCCTCTTTTTTAATACTTTACTTAGTTTTTGGGAAGCATCTTTAATTATTCTTATAATCCCTCGAATGTTATATTTTACGTCTCCTGTTAAAACATATCCCAAATATTTTAATTCTCGTACTTACTCGATTCCAATACATCTTGCCTTTCTGGATTGTTCTTCCTGTTGCCAGAGATACATTCCAATTGGTTATTCGTTTCATTTATTCCCGAATCTAGCAGGTCGTGCAGTTCCTTTCTCCGTCATCTGAATATTTTATTGTTAAGATTCTGTCTGCCCATAATATAGAAAAAAAAAATTAGTTAAAGACTAGTTTAACAGCAAGCGATATAAATTGACTATTATTAATTAAATTAAAATCATCTCTCCGATACAATAACTATTAAAAGTGCGTATAAAATATATGCCGAATAAACTCTCCTTACACATTTAGGAAAAGACAGCCTTCCTAGCGTGTATATCGATCTGGGTAACCTACAAGGAATTCTGAACTGAACCCTTTATTCAATATATGGGGGTAGACTGTTCCTGTTCCAATGACCATGTCTAGGCATGAGGAAAATAGTCCAAATATAAATAGTTTAAGGACATCTTCAGGTGTATATTGTGATATCCCCCGGCCTTCCTTAGGTGTATATCGATCTGGGTAACCTACAGAGAATTCTGAACTGAACCCTTTATTTAATCTATGGGGGTAGACTGTTCTCGTTCCACTGCTCATGTCTAGGCATGCAGATAATAATTCAAATATAAATAGTTTAAGGACATCTTCAGGTGTATATTTTTATATTCTCCGACCTTCCTTAGGTGTATATCGATCTGGGTAACCTATAGGGAATTCTGAACTGAACCCTTTATTTAATCTATGGGGGTAGACTATTTTCGTTACACTGCTCATGTCTAGGCATGCAGATAATAATCCAAAGATAAATAGTTTAAGGACATCTTCAGGTGTATATTGTTATATTCTCCGACCTTCCTTAGGTGTATATCGATCTGGGTAACCTATAGGGAATTCTGAACTGAACCCTTTATTTAATCTATGGGGGTAGACTTCTCGTTCCAATTCCCATGTCTAGGCATGAGGACAATAATCCAAATATAAATAGTTTAATGACATCTTCATGTATATATTGTTATATTCTCCAGCCGTCCTTAGGTGTATATCGAACTGGGTAACCTACATGGAATTCTGAACTAAACCCTTTATTTAATCTTTGACGATAAACTGTTCTTGTTCCAATCCTCATGTCTTGGCATGAGGACAATAGTTCAAATATAAATAGTTTAAGGACATCTTCAGGTGTATATTGTTATATCCTCCGGCCTTCCTTAGGTGTATATCGATCTGGTTATCCTACAGATAATTCTAAACTGAACCCTTTATTTAATCTATGGGGGTAGATTATTCTCGTTCCACTGCTCATGTCATATAGTTCATATGTTTTTTAGTACTGTTCAGTTATTGCTCGCTAAATGCAAGTCCATACTACCCGATCCAGGGATTGAAATCGCAACCAATATGTCAATAACCTTGTGCAATAAAAATAAAACTGATTAATTCTTTGAAGAATCCAGCCTCTCAATTACTCCGACGCATGTCCTTATTGTTTTTATACGGAATACGTTGGCTGGCCCTGAATGGCAAGCTACTGGTCAAAACTTTGATGAATCGAATTGCATGGGTGTGATTTGAAATCAGTGGACGTGGAATCCTGATAGTGATGGACTACAGTTGATTAACTTTGCGATATAAGGCCAAAAAGGGTCAAAGACACTGAAACGGCTGCAAGAATCAGAAGTATGTTACCGAATCCAGATTGCTTAGCCAGTGGTGAAGAACCAGAGTTTGGTCATCATTAACTATCCTTCCTTCGCTAGTACGATTCACGACGCATCCATTCTAACAATTTACAAAAGCGCCATAAGACCTCATTCTTCACCATCCAGTTCGAATAGGCACGAAAATACCGCGTTTATACAGGGGACATAATAATATGCTGATGATATATGTACAACTATATCTCTATCTATAAAATTCAGGATGTGTTTGTGTATGCGTGTGGGGGGTTGTAATTTGCACGGCCGCAATATTTGACGGATTTGCAACAAAATTTACATGCACATGCTCTAAGTTAGCGGGAAGGCCAAGACCGATATTTGCATTTCCCAACTCCCATCAATAGTGGAAATAATCGATTTTTTCATGCTTCTACGGCACTTTTCATGTAGTTTGCGGCCATTTTCTACTGGCCAGCGTGTGAGCGTATAGCTGGCTGCCACGAATAGACAAGAAGATTCTATTGGCCAGCGTGAGAGCCAACAGCTGACTGACACGAATGTTAACTAGCATGCTAGCATGCAAAAAATAGATAGCTGCATTCGTCACAGCTGGAAAAAATTTAAATCTTCATGGCACTTTACTCCAATTGGCCCATTCGCTTGCTTAAACACAACATTGATTCCGCAGAACTGTGTTCATTTTGTTTAGTTCTTTATTCGTAACAGATTTAATGTTTAGTATAGAGCTTAGAAAAATTCGCAGAGTGAGATAGGCAAGAAGTAAGGCATGTAGCAACATCAGCACGGCAAAAGGCACTCCTTTAAAGGCAAGGAAGGGCAAAAATATTTTAAGTCAAGTGATAGCGATTGCTGTATGAGTCGTACGATTTTTGAATCAAGCACGGGCAATTCCGGTCCATGCCGATAGTTTTTTTTAAATTTAAAATATATAAAAGGAGTTGTGCACCGATTAAATTAATTAAAAAGTTCAACTACTTAATGTAAAAGAAATTAGAACTATATTAACAAGGTACTGTCTACCCCACAAAAATTGGAATGGTCGCCGTAATCTGCTATCGGAGAGAATCAAGCTCACTCACAAGTGACAGGAAAATAAAAAAAAATAAAATAGGGATAAAAAAGACACTAGGTGCTGGGAATGTTGAATAATATTATAGAAAAAGAAGGGCCAATGAACGAAAGTTGCTCACATTAACTAGGAAGACTTATTAAAAAAAAAACAATTTGAAAAACGCCTGATAATTATGCACCAACTCAAAAGTAATATATATCATTTTTCATTTTATATTTATGAAAAAAACATCATTTAATTTTTGTGTCTACACTTGCAACCCTACCCCTAACCATAAGACTAATCTTGGCAATAGAATTAATTAATTATATATATATATATATATATATATATATATATATATATATATATATATATATATATATATATATATATATATATATATATGTATGTATATATATATATATATATATATATATATATATATTTTCAATAGTCAAGTTTGCTTTGGTTTGTTATTTAATACGGTAGCAGCAGCAGTCACGGCTTAAATCAGCGGTATTTGTTACCTGCATTTGGTAATTTTTTACTACATCATAAAACAAAAATGTGTGAAGACGTAAAAAAAGGCCATGGACCTTTGTTTTAGAATGGTTAAAAGTCATCACAGTTTATTAATAAAACGATCTTTTAAATATATGTAAATGGGTATTGATCTCATCGCAACATAGGACTACAAATAGTTCTGGAAAAATATGTTCTGAATTCATCGGGGAAAAGAAAGCTGAATGATCAAGCAAGATACACGTGTCTTATATGATTCCTGATGACCGAAATCAAGTCCTGGGTATGAGAATAAACTAAATCCGGCAGCAAGACCATTGATCAGGAAATTAGAGGCTGTTAGAAGCTTGGGAACAGCTCTTAATTGCTGTTGTTCTCAGAATAATTCAGACCCGGTCCGGTAGCACCAGTCACAGTTATGGGAAAATAGTCAGTCAGTCGTTCACTTCTGAACCGACTGTTCAGTTGAACTCTCTTCCTACGGACGGGAGGAACCCGAAGGAGGCTGCGCCGAAGGGCGGAGTCTCCTTCGGGGAGGTAAAACCGGCCCTGAACTCGTTTTTACGGGTTCAATGGGCATATTTTTGGCCGAGCCCACGGGCTCGGAATGCCCACGTTAAAAAGGCCTTGTGCCACATGACACCCTCGTTGGGGTTGGGGGGTGACTGAATATCGTCATGGGAAAATAGTGAACCCCTAAACAAAATACGACAGTGAATGCTGGACAATCTTCTCACAGATGAAGAAGAGACTTTGAGAGACAGAGATGTAGTTCTACTGATGAGTGCCCTTAGAAACAAAGGAAAGAGTGTTGGACGGCTATGTAATATCTAATCTCCTATATGGCAGTGAATACTGGACAATCTCCTCACAGATGAAGAAGAGACTGGGGGCGACAGAGATGTGGTTCTACTGATGAGTGTCCTTAGAAACAAAGGAAAGAGTGTTGGACGGCTATGT